AGGCACACCTCTTTATCTAAATGTTTCCAAGAGGGTGTTCAATTAATAACTCAGACAAATTGTGGGTGATAAGAATCTTTTCATTTATTAATTTAACTCTTCCTTTTAAACAGAGTGCCAGAAAATTGCTGTTTTTGTGCTTGTTTATTCTGGATGGATTTTTATAGTGTTGAAGTCACACACTGCAGCCCTTTGATTCTGCTCCTGAGAAATTAGCAGAGATTCCAGTAGAGGTGATACAGGTAAACTGGATTCCTCATTGTTATTTTTGAATAGTAATTTTGTTGTGTACTTGTGTTGATTTTTACAGTGTTTTTATTTATAGCTAAAAGATAAACCTGCAGACGCGGAAATGTCTGATCTTGATTAAGCACAAAAGTTTATAGTCATTTTGCTGCCCCGGTTCTGGTATCTGTTGCAGTTTCTAAAGAACAATGATGCAATACAGCTGACAAGCACAATAAAACTAACTTTTTAGTGGAGACAATCATAAAATTAATTTAAGGGCAGAAGTTTATTGGTTTCCATGTGCTAAAATATTTAGAAGTTAAACAGAGTTGTTTAAATACACTCTGCTCTTTCATTAGATGTGACCAAGAATATGTTTAGTTTCTATGTTGTGATCAACACTGCAACCACAAGCAGTGCTTTTGGGGACTATATTGTATCACTGTGTGCCAGAGCTTGTGTGCAGCTCCCCACGGAACCAAAAACAGTGGGGCATGATTAAAGTGAATCACTTAGGGCAGGGGCCAGCAACCTTTTCAAACCAAAGAGCCAAACTCCATCAAAATTCAGAACAAGTGGTCAACAAAGAGTCATGCCCATTAGCATGACTGAAAATATACAACGTAACATTATTTATGATTGACATGATGATTAATAGCATAAATGAAACATTGTACTCACAGACTTTATTTAATGGGACTTCTGCTAGGGTGCAGCTGGTGGATGTGGGGGGGCAGGAGTCAGGGGTGGGGTGCATGGGGGGCTCAGGGTAGGGGGTTTGGGTGTGTGGGAAGTGCAGGAGGCAGGGCAGAGTGCTGGAGGTGGGAAGTAGAGTATGTGGGGGACCCAGGGCCCAGATTACCTTACTTGGTTGGGGCTGAGCTGCTGCACCTGGCTAGCATTGGCTGAATGAGGGGCCAGGCCAGGATCGCTGCAGCAAGATTGTGGCCTCCCCTCCTACCCAGGAGGAGGAGCAGCCCTTCCTGTAGCCAGATGGGGGTTGGACTCCGACTGGGGCCTTATTGGGCAGGCTACTGTGGCCAGAGCCCAAGCTAGGCCATCACAGCCAGGCTGTTGCAGCGTGTGTTCCCTAAGGTGTGCCCTCAGCCAGTCCTTAAAGTGAACAGAGTCCCCCAGCTGGCTCTTGCCACAGGGCAGCCGGTTCTTACCAGGATGTACTGCCTCATTTTCACCTCCGGTTAAAGGTGAAATAGACAAAAAAGGCCATTTTGACGTGAAAAATTATGCATTTTTAAAATTTTGAATTAATTTTTCATTGTAATTAAAAAAGTTGCATGTATTTTGGGAATGACAAAAGAGCCATATTTGGTTCTACACTGAGCTATAGGTTGCTGATCCCTGACTTAAGTTGTAAACATCTTCAGAGAGGTACTGCTTCATGGGGAGACTTGTATATGCTGGTTCAAATTATGTTTTCAAGAGATCAATAGAGAAATAAAGGGATTTCTATATAAAAAGGCTGAGTTTAAATTGTCTCAAGGTCTTCTTTCTGATCTAACAAATGGACAGGACTTTCTGTTCTAGTTCTCCGGTTCTATCTACTAGTGCCTCCACGAACCTGATAAGTAAGCTCTGGCAGCTTTTAACAGATGAGTAAGCTCTGGCAGCTTTTAACATGCATCTAGAATCAAATTACTGGAAGGGACCTCCAGAGGTCATCTGGTCCAGTCACCGGCACTCAGCACAGGACTAAATATTTTCTAGACCACACCTGACAGGTGTAGAAATGGTCTAGAATCTAGATAATATAGATATAATATAATAGCTGTGGCTATTTGGTTGGTTGAGTGTGGCTAGTATAGGAACTTTTATTTTTAAGTGTTTTGTATGTAGTGCTTTTACCTTAATAAATGTGCTTACAGTACTTAGAAAGAGTTGTATGGTAACTTGTAACTTGTGACAACACACTGTTCATAGTTCTTGGAGAGAAAGCTGCACATAGGGGTTGGCTGTCATGAGACTGACTTCCTATAGATGTTGCTGTGTATGGCAGGGGGTTGTGAAGCTTTAAAATCCCCAATCAGAAGAAACTTAAAAAACAGCGAATAGTCCTGTAGCACTTAGGCTATGTCTACACTGGCCCCTTTTCCAGAAGGGGCATGTAAATTTCATGAGTCGTAGTAGGGAAATGCGCGGAGGATTTAAATATCCCCCGCGGCATTTAAATAAAAATGTCCGCCACTTTTTTCCGGCTTTTAAAAAAGCCGGAAAAGAGCGTCTACACTGGCCCCAATCCTCCGGAAAAAGTGCCCTTTTCCGGAGGATCTTATGCCTTTAAAGTAGGAATAAGATCCTCCGGAAAAGGGCACTTTTTCCGGAGGATCGGGGCCAGTGTAGACGCTCTTTTCCGGCTTTTTTAAAAGCCGGAAAAAAGCGGCGGACATTTTTATTTAAATGCCGCGGGGGATATTTAAATCCCCCGCGCATTTCCCTACTACGACTCATGAAATTTACATGCCCCTTCCGGAAAAGGGGCCAGTGTAGACGTAGCCATTGAGACTAACAAAAAATGTGGATGGTATCGTGAGCTTTCATGGGCACAACCCACTTTTTCAGATGAATGGAGTTAAGAGGTGTAGGGTACAAATAAATAGCAGGGAAGGAGAAAGGGAAAAATATTGTCAATTAGACTGTCCATGTTAAATTAGGCTAATAGAGTGGGATCTAAGTATCCTAAGTACCTGATGCTTACATTTTTATGTCATTAGGGTGGGGAATGTAGCCGTCCATCCAGTTAAGGTCTTTGTTCAAACCTCTATTCAAGGTGTCAAACTTGTAAATGAAACCAAGTTCTGCAGCTTCTCTCTCCAGCTGGCTTTTGAAATTTCTTTCAAATAATATAGTCACTTTTGGATTCATTAATGAATGCCTGGGCAGGTTGACATGTTCCCCAAAAGGTTTTTGTGTGTTACTATTTCGAATATCTGATTTGTGTCCATTAATCCTTTGTTACAGAGAAGAGACAAAGGTCCTTGCCTGGAGTCCTGAGCAGGAGACCTGATTGGGAACTCTTGGAATGGACCATGGAGAGATACAAATACAGTTACACTGAAAGTGTGACACACGTGTTTTGGTATAAAAGCAAGTTTAAACTTAAGTTGAGAGCTAAGATAAATTCATTGTTATAATAAATTCTTTGACTCCTGTCTACAATTTAAATGTAGCTGTCTCTCTGAAGCAAGTATATCACTGTCAGTGTGGAATAGGAGATACATAAAAATGTACTCGGAGCTGTCTAGGATTGGAGCTGAAAAAATTCAGCCTCTCATTGGCTGGAACATTCATTTAATAAATATATGAAATGAATAAAAGCTTCAGAGAGGTAGCCGAGTTGGACTGCAACAGGAAAAACTTTAAAAAGAACAAATAGTCTTGTAGCACTTTAGAGACTAACAAAAATGTGGACGGTATCATGAGCTTTCATGGGCACAATCCACTTCTTCAGATGACTGGAGTGTTGGAAGTCCAGATCCAAGAATAAAGAAAGAAATGAGTGCAGGGGGAGGGGAGAAGGAAAAAAAATTGAAGGGGAGGAAGAAAAAAAGATAATGAGTAGATAAGCTTCAGAGGAATAGCAGAGTGAGTCTGTAACAGGAAAAACTTAAAAAACAATTTATAAGCAGCATTGGATGCTACTAGACTAATTGTTTTTTAAGTTTTTCCTGTTACAGACTCACTTGACTATCCCGCTGAAACTTATCTACTCACTGTCTTTTTTTTCTTCCTCCCCTTCAATTTTTTTCCTTCTCCCCCCCTTTTCTCTTTTGGATCTGGACTTCCAATATTCTGATCATCTGAAGATGTGGGTTGTGCCCACGAAAGCTAGGGTTGCCAGATGGTTTCAACAAAAATACTGGACACACTTGACATTACATCACAATTTAAATTACATCTTATTTAGAAAATACCGGACACTTATATTTTCTCTATTTGTTTCCCAAACAGAAAGCTCAAATACTGGACTGTCCAGTTGAAAACTGGACACCTGACAATCCTAACAAAAGCTCATGATACCATCTAAAGGTTTTGTTAGTCTTTAAAGTGCTACTAGACTATTTGTTGTTTTTTATGAAATGAATGTAAGTTTCATAGCTGTTATATTTCAGGCTCTTCAACGGCTTCAAGCTTGCTACAAAACCACAGATCTATAGAACCATATTTATACCAACTCTGCTGGGTGTTGAGAGAGGCTGATGGATTCTCATTGTCTTTATCGGCTGCTCCATGCTATGTTGTATGACAGTATCAGCAATTAGGGCATTTGAAGCAAAACCCAGCAACTGCCTCCATCAACAGTATTTCTGTTTTGGTGGCATTCTTAGTATGGCCTTGTTAGGCTGGAAGACAAAGGAATTCTGAAGAGTATGTGCTGAGGAATGCCACTACATGGCTGCTGATCACATGGGCATCAAAAGCTTCAGTGGTGTGCCAAGTTTGAGATTGATGGGCCTAAATATACTGAATACACAGCCAGACCACTTTAGGTAGCTTGCCTGAGATTGAGCTGGGTGGTAATTAATTTGCAAGGAGGCCCTGTCCCTTGGGATTTGCTGTGGTGGTGGTGGTGATGATGATGATGATGTAAGTTTAAAAAAAACTTTTGAAAAGTTACATTTACCTGGCTTACTTTCCTTCATCCTAAATTACAGGATTCAATTCTATGGTTAGAATTTTAATTTACTTTAATGGGAGCAGGATAAGGCCCATAATGCAATCAATCTCTATACATTTAGAACTATCAGAATGAGTGATAAATATTGGGAAATGCAAACTGGGATCCTGTTTGTGCATTCTTCATTCATACAAACACATATAGACTTTAGTGAAAAATTAGTTTGGCTTTCTGAATTGGATCTCTCTTTTATAGAGGGAAATTTAACCAGAGTGCTAAATGTTAAAAACATTTCTTTCACTTCTCTAAAAACAGGACATGAACATGTTTTCAGATCTTTGATGTATGTATTGAGAGTGATAAATATTGGTGATTTGAAAGTGAATGTATGAGAGAGGTTGTTAGTGGGATAGGGGGTGATTGAGTGTCATGATGGTAGTGGGCCAATGTCTGAAGACTGGTTGGTGTCAGTGCTGCCATAACGTATGATTTCCTTCCTTTTTAGTGCTTATGTTGTAAGAAAAAATGCTTGGGAAACCTCAACTCCAAGTTAATGATGTTTTTGTATGGTGGAATTTCCTAGTGTTTAAAATAATACATATGTAGGCTGGGGACCCGAAGTGGAAACTTGCTAAGAAGCTAGTAAGACAGTCTGGATGGGTGTTGGGGTGCTGCAGAGTTTGTCAAATTATCATCTCCTTCTAAAACTTAGCAGGCTTGGTGGAAAGAGCTTTATTGATGCTGCAGCTTCCTCAGTTTGGCACTTTCGTATGAAGCTGCAGGAGCCTGGCAGACTGAAAGTTTTCATTACTGAGCAGAAAAAAAATGAATATCATTTAAAACTTTCTCTACCAGGAGAGAAAACTTTTAACCAAAGCAGATATTACTGTTTCCCTGAATCCCTGTTTTCTCTAATGCTGATCTCTAGCCAGTTCTGCTTCCAAGACCCTCAGCCAGTTTTCATTCTATGCGTTTAAGTCCCCTAGGCAGATACTTTTTCCTTCCTATTTACAGACTTACCCTGGCAGGCCGTAAGTGCCTAATTTTTATATGTATAGGCAAAGATATTCAAAATCACTTAGGGGATTAAAATGCACAATTCCCATTAATTTCAGTGGGAATTGTATATCCTAAAATCTCTAGATGGTTTTGAAAATTTCAGCCATAACTACTGCTTGCAAAGATTAGATGTATAAAAATTATAATAGAAAATATATAACTGTTTAAAATGTGTGTATATCAAAAACACGTGCTTATAATTTACAAGTAGAAAACTTTCCAAGGTAGTAGAGAGGATCCTGTAACAGGGATATAGGAGCAACAGTAGGGGAGCATTGGTCTTGAAGGTCACTAGTTAGGATGTAATGGTAAAGAGAGGATTTAGTTATGGAAGTCTCAGGTTCTTTGACTTTAACAGTCTCTGTGACTGCTCTGTGGGGGGGGGGAGGGGTGAAGAAGGGCGGGTCTGTTGGCTGTAGTGAGAAGGCTCAAGTTTGGGCTCTCAACCCCTAATGGCAGGGCTGGGGCTCTGGCTGTCATCCCTGGGCAGTGGTGTTTGGGCTCAGACTGTCAGCTCTGGGAAGTGTGCTCTGGCTCTGGCATCAGTCATCTACAGTGGGGCTCAGATGTCAGTTTTCTGTGACCTTACCCCGATTTTGTACATTTTTACTATGACAGTACTGTGAATTTTGCTTCATTTTACTGTGACAAAATTGTATCCATAGTAATGGGTAAGGAGCCTTCCCAGGATCCGCCAAGAGAAAATATCCTGTCTTGCTTGTTTTAGGAGATGAAAAATGTAGGCACGTTGTGCACCTATAAAATCTGGAGAACAGCTCCCCTTGTGCTGACTTTCTGACATTCTGGGACCATATTCAGAAAGAGGATTCTTTCTTACAGCTCAGCCCATGGAGTACTGCATGCATAATTGGCTGGGGTATAAGGACAGTTGTTTTGATGAAAATGCTTTTTTTGTTGGCTTTCCTAGGAGTGATTCATTGTGCAAAAATACATTGCACAAACCATTTTTCATTGGAAGTAATTGATGAAAAATTAATTATGCCTTGCTATTAATCATACATTTCATTCTATGGCAAATTAATTTGATGAAAAACGTATAGTTAACACCTCTGCTTAAATGGAAATTGTTATTCCTAACAAAATGAAATAAATAAAATTAAAATACATGCATGTTAATAAGTTTTAAATAATAGCAGTTTCTTTGCCCTGGCAAAAGGCTTTTTCTCATTATAGCATAACTGCATCCTATGAACAAAATTATCATATAACCTTTACAAAGCCAATGAGCATCATACTCTCTTCAAGAAGAGATGCATGAACTAATGGTCAACTTATTCATTCTACTATACATTCTTATTGGGACATTTTTATTCCATGCATCATATTTGTACATAACATTGAAAATATCAGAAGCTGAAAATATCAAAATATAAGGCTCTTAAAAGGACTTCACAATCTACTGCAGACTGGCATATTTTCAAGTGTTTTTCTACCACACTCAGGTTTATCAGTCAGTGGTACCAATATTGTATATTATATAAAATGCCATAGAGTTGTCTGTTGAATTGATGGTCACCCTTATATCCCTTCTGCACTATGAAACTCTACTGTGTTGCAGGACTTGGCTATTGTATTGTAATGCCTAACATATTTGAAATGTGGTTTAGTCTTGCAGCACAGATGAGTTCAAACCATGTTTTAACCGTACTCCTTAATTATACTATAGCATTGCCAAGAGTGTTGCTTGGTTCAGGATCACAGTTAAAGCAGGATGACTGCAAGACTGAATGATGTTATAACAATGTCAAGCTTTACCTTGTTGTAACCAAGTCTCGCAACACTGTAGATTTTTTTAGTGTAGAGAGGGCCTAAAGTTTTTTTCCATCTAGAAAACACAAACCACTCTTCTGTTGCTGTCCACACAATCTCTTTCTTTGCAAGAGCTTAGCTTGACTATACTCTTGTTGATGTATTGGCTAAGTATCAAAATATAGGACAGATATGGGAGGAGGCTGTGCCAATGAAAAGTTATTCTTGAATGACATGTTTGACTGTGAAGAGTAAATCTCTCTCATTGGCATCTAATTGTAAGCTCAGTGATTTTCGAAATGAACGTGGTGTTACTTTTTTTCCTTACTACATCATCATTTGGCGATATATCTTTAAATCAGCCATTTCCAGTTAATTACAGCTACGTATGCTATTTGGTTGAAGATTTGGGAAACAAATTTGAAATCCACAGCAGATGTAGTATTACCACTGGCAAAAAGACATAGTTCTTAAGCTGTTTGTAGATTCCTAACTAAATACTGTGTAATGCATGACAAGGAAGAATACATGTTAACAACATTCCTTAAGACATACTTCAAGGACAAAATTAAAATACTTCCATAGTATTGTATAGTGTCAATATCAATCATCAGAAGGATGTTCTTGTACATGAAGTATTATAGCGTATAGCTTTCCAATGACCTTAACATGCTGGCCAACACAGGAGCTGCTACAGTAATTACAGATTACATTAAGTATCAATCAAAAGCCACCATCCAACTATAGAAGACAAGCCTTTTAAGCATTATTAAAATAAGATCCTTCCTAGAAGATTCAGG